AAACTATTTCATTAAAATAAATACCTTTATATTTATTGAAACGATTAAAACTTGTACGAAAAATAATAAATTAACTTTATCCCTTTGCAACATATATTAGAGAAAGGCGCATACATGGTTTTGCATACACATACACAGTAGTTGTTGTTGTGCATGCACAGGGGTTGCAGTGTTATTAAATAACAAAAGCAAATTTTTAACTAATAAAAGACTTAAAGAAATAATTTTAAAAATACTAAGTCAGTGTTCTTTTTTCAATATTCCTCTTTTGCTCTTAAAGCAAGAACTTTGTCAAAATACTCGCTTCAACCAAATCAATATTCTTGCTCAAAAAAAGGTAAGCTAATGACTTATCATTTCATTTGCTCAAGGTAAGCTAATGACTTATCATTTCATTTGCTCAAGATAAGCTAATGACTTATCATTTCAAAGACATTTTGATCTAAATCATCAGAAAATCCAATTTATGTTTGGAAATTAAAATCAATTGGATTTTCTACTCGTTTAGACTAAAATTATATTTTTGTTATAACTCTACGTAATTAGTTTTGTAATGAACAGTGCCGCCGAGAGCCATCACACCGCCTTGGACAGGAACCCTGATTGGAGCCCTTATTTATCAAAATTTTCCTATATTATAGATGAAGGACCTTTTTTAAGTTCCTACATTTCATTTGGTGCCCCTAGAATATCTGCCGTCCGGGACAAACTGTCCCTTTTGTCCCCCTCCCCATTCTCTGGGCGGCACAGGTAATGAATTACGTAAAGAATTTTGTAAGTTAATGTAACGTAATGAATTTAACTAAATCAAAAGTAAAATGGAACTAAATATTATTATAAAACTAAAATTTAATGTTTTTATAAAATGCTTTTATAAAGATTATATTAATACTTTTTTATAAATTATTTTGTCACATTTTTTTATAAAGCTATATTTTATTAGTATTAACCTTTCGCTTTCAAAAAATAAATAGTCTCCACCAGAGCCAACAACACCGGGGAGGTGGAGGGTAGGCGGGCACTGGTTCTTTCACTTTTTTAAAATAGAAATTTTTTTTTTTTAATAAAGAAAATTATAGACATAGAGAACTTTTTTTAGAGATTGACGATTGTGCGCCCCTCCACTTTGAAAACCGTGAAGTCAGCCCAGCTAGGTACAAGAGATGGAAAGATAGATAGGTACATAGTTTTTGATATCTGTAAACTATTTAGGTTCGTCAATAAAAAACAACCAAACAAGTATGGATCCATTTTATTTAATTATTAAAAACACTAAGTTAATTAAGCCTTGAAAATGCCAAAAATTTTTTAGGTGAACGAAAAGACAAAAACGGTTATTAATCAAGCTACTTTTGACATTATTTCTCCGTTAAACATTTTCTTTTCATAAGCAGTGCCTTATTAGGCACTATGGAATTAATCAGTCAGAAGATTTTTTTAGTCAAATACTATCTTCTAAAGTTTGTTTAATTAACTCGCCTATTAGTGACTAAATCAAATTTATCGGTTATGTTCTTATAATAAAGAGCACATAAAGGGATTTTAAATTAGAAATTAAAAATTAATAAAAATAGGCAACAGTTTAAAATAAAAGTTTAGAGTTTTTCTACAATCTAAATGAAAAAATAAAATAAAAATGTGCGACTTTAAAAAAAGTCGCACATTTTTATCTAGATTTTCATAACCTTGTTTAACTAGAACAAAATTCTGAGTGAGTCCACTCAGAATTTTGTTCTAGTTGAATAAGGTCATGAAAATAAAAAAAGTAGAACTAACTAATTCCACATTTTAAATTTCATCTGGAAAGAGACTTTACTTTTGCGAATCTCTTACCTTCATTATACCGAACATATGTGAAGTTGTGAATAAGTGAATAAGTTGTGAATCTTATTATTATTCAAAAACTGAAGTTCCTTGTGGAACTAAGCATCTAATTATTTTCTAGTGATGACCCTTCAGAGCAAAGCAAAACCCATTATATGGTTAGATTCTGAGTTAATCTTTGGGATAGATGATTATTCAAATCTGTTTGTAACTACTTTCCAGCAGGAATCACTCTTAGATTGTGATCGAGACTTGATTGCATCAAACGTGCTTTTCAGCACGTGCTTTTCAAGAGTTTACAGAGTTTACACATTAAACCAGTTTGTTGATATGATTCTTAAATTATGTAAATGAGGGCGCTTTACTGTTCAGTAAGTAACAAACGACATATAATCTGCACTTTTATTACTTGGTGACCACATTTTTATAAGAACAATGTCAACTCAGATAAAATTTCTTAGAGAGTTTTATTAAAACAAAATTGACAGAAAAAAGTGATTACTAAACACTTTACTAATGGTTTCATCTCCTCAATGTTTACACTCAAAAAAAATATATATATATAGAGATCAATGAAAAAAAAATTAATGACCTGAAACAGTATGGAACTAAGCGGTCAATTCGCTTAATCTGGTCAAGATCTAGGTATAAAAAGTCTGGAAATTAGTTGCGCTAAAAATAATGTTATAAACAAGCTGATAAATTGAGTAAGAATTTGGCATTTAGCATTGTAAGGTTTTTTAAGTGCCTTTATGATGTCTAACATTTATTATAATGTATGAGTTGCTTTAGAGAAAAGCGATGTAGTTTTACTAAATGAATTTTGAAAGAAGTTGTCTTATGAAGTAAATTCTTTATGTTTTCTGTATAAAGGAAACCTGCATTCATCTTAAGCAAAATTTCTGTTAAGAATCAAACCTCAAAAGCTTAAAGTTGGATAAACTTGTACCCATTCCCAGATATTTATAATGTTTTATAATGCTTTATTTACTTTATGCTATTTAATAAAAGGTTATAGTAAGATTAGCAAATCGTAAAATTTGCAATAAATAAAAGGTTAAAAACTTCTTTTTATAATCTTGCTTAAACATTATTGTCAGCAATTATTTTTTTAATGTTTCTTTTTTACTTTTTACTAACACTAAAGTCAGTGCTTTACCAATCTAAGCCAAAGAATCAGCAGCTTAACTATTCTATCAAAAAAGATAAAATAAATTCTTTTTCTGATTTCTATCCTGACAATCTATTACACAAAAAATATTGTACAAAAAATATTGTTACCTTGGGAAAATAATAATTTTCTATGCATTTTTATGTCAAAGGATTTTTAAGAGACATGACAATAACTGTTTACTACAAGTGTACATTGTATTCACCACTAACATTTTCTGCTTTCAAACATGGTATTAACGTTCTACTAAGAAATATATTGAATCCCAACAGTGGTTTGTTTTTCTTGTCACAGTTTTTTCAAACTATCAATTTAGTTTGTAAATGAAATCTGCAAGACATGGACCCAAACAAACTCAATATATTACACATGATACCAAAAAAGCTCTTGTATAAACTAATGAAGGGCTGATATTTATCTACAAGAATTTTTTATACTTAAGTTAGCTTTGAATACATTTTGCTTCGTGAGATACAAAGTGATAGAAATGAAAGAGAGTTTTCTGTTTATAGACAATCAACATGGGTAAATGCTCTTATTGTAGCCGGTGATGTTTTCTTTACTTTTAAAAATCTTTTAGCTCAATTTGTTGCAACGTTTCAAAAATAAAAAAAGTCACGCAGATCCAACCATTTTTGAAGATACCAGCTCAATGAATACAACTAATATATCTTAAGGATGAGCCTATACATATAGTTTAACCTAAAGATTTTATTTAAAAAGTTTTAAGTGTTTACATGACAGTTCTTAATGAGAGTACATAACAGCTTGTTAGAATTAATTTATGATTTAGCGAACAACAAGATCTAAAAAAACGTTAATATTTGACAGAAACTTTGGTAACTTTCTCGAACTTTTTTCTGTAAGGTTACCAAAGTTGACTTCCAGAACAAAGATTGTCAAATAGTAACGTTTTGTAGATCTTGGTAGTGACCGTAGCAGGAAGTATATTCAGAACAGAAAACCTAAATAATTTTAAATTTGACACCGATCCCATCAACAATAAAAAACGATTTTTTTTATTAACTTTATGCCAAAAAAATAAATGAGAATTCTCTTAAGCAAATCTTTAATCAAACCAAAGAAAAACTAATCAATTAAAATGTCTGGCATGATATGAGGCAGTTTCTACATTTTTGAAGGTGAATAAAAAAGTGTCTATTTAGTTTTTTCTATATTTAGAGACAATCTATTTTGTTTAAACCAAACAGAAACTTTTTTTAATTCATTTGTCATATTAGTAAAAAGCATGTTAATATCTTTATGAGACAAAAACAAATTTGTGTCATCTGCAAAAATTATTGTTGTTAAATTTGATAATTTATGAAGACCATTTATGTATATTCAAAAAATAAGTGGACTAAGTATGGATTCGTGTAGAACACCACATGTTGTATTCATTTAGAGATGAGATATAGAATCTTTATCCTAAACAAACTGTTTATGGTAAGATAACATTAAAACCATAATAGGGTTTTATCTTTAAAAATATTTTTAGCTTTTTGATTTCCAATATTTGAAATATAAAGTAAAAAGTAACAAAAACTTTTGTTTTTTTTTCTTTGTATTTCTAATACTAAAATAATCCTAATAACTACTTGTTTCTGATATTTATTTACTTTTTTACTATAAGTTTGCGCAAATTTATTTTCAATCAAAATATTATAAAGAACAAATAATGAGAAAATGAAAAACACTATAAAAAAAGTTTTTGCCAATCCATATTTAAATCTTACGTCAACTGATATATGCGAAATCTTACTCTTTTTTTTTTGGGGGGGGTCAATTTTTAGTCACTAAGAAAAAAAAAAACTAAACGGTAAAAAAAAAAGAAGTTCTTTTATGCTGTTGCACGGTTGAGTGTCTTTGTTCCATTCTTCTTCGGAAATTTAATACGCTTGCACGCTCACTGATTTTCTGTGCCTTCTATTCTCAAAAATATGTAATCGACACAGTTGAAGAAAAAAGGGCCGAAATAATCCATTTTACTTTTAAATCATGTTAATTATCATATTAATAAAATGAAACTGTGAAATAAAAATCATTTATTATTATTTTTTTAAATTTTGTTTAGCATTTAAAAAAAATCGAAGCAAGAGTTATTTTACATTAATGGATTTGTATTTTCGTACATAAGTTTTTGTTTGGCTTTGTTTGTTGTTGTCTGTGCTGTAAGTAAATTACTTCTTTTTAAATAAATTACGTCTTACTAAGTTCCGAAAAGGAAGTTAAAAATTGATGTTTTTGATTTTTAAATATTATCATATAAAAAATTAAATTATTTTTTTAAATTCTAATTTACTTAGTGGTTAATTGCAAGTGTCGCAAGCGTGAAACTCGAGCGTTTGCGTAGGACATTAAAAAATGCGAAACGACAGTGTTAGTGAGGACATAAAAAAGTTTAAAAATATGTTTATGACAAGATAATTGACTAAAAATATGATTCCGGACTTTTCTTGATTTTAAAATTTTGATTTATTTCATGTCACAATCTCATTTTCATATTCACACGTAGTTTAAAGTCTCATATTTACGTATAAACAGGGAAACTTAAATTTACATATTTTCTCGCAATTTACATTTGTATGTAATTTTGCCATTTTAAAATTTAGTATTGAAATTGAAAATTAAATTTATGATTTGCAATTTTTATCTGACCGTTTTTTGAATCTTTTAAGCAGATGTTTTTACGTGGATTAGGTCACATGCTTTGTCATTCGTCCAGCGCGCTTAGGAATTTTTTCATTCCTACTTGCATTTCTGCACGTAATTTAAATAGTAAAGTACTGAGTTTTTATAAATTTCAAGCTTAAAAAATAATCACAAGCAACGTTTAAATTTAAAAATAAGATCTTCACTGCCAAACGTTGCCGCTTCAATTTTTTTTTAATATTAAACATATTGTTTATTCAAAAACTAGACTGTTGTTTCAAAATATTAGGCCCCCACTACGACAAACAAGTTTGCCTTTAAAAAAATTAAAATTAAAACAGAATATTTGTGTAATGCTTTTTTTTTTTAACAACCAGTTCCCAACAACTTCAGTTTCTTCTTCAGCTTTTATTTTTTTATTTAATACAGTAACTTTTTATTTTGTAAACAAAAAGCATAATCAATTTACTAATATAATTAAAAATAAACAATTTAAAAAAATTGAAAATGTAAGACTCGTTATCATAGCAAAATTTTTCGTTAACAATGCTTCGTCAAAACAACGAAAGGAATTTATGCATAAAGTGGTTAATTAAATCAAATAAGTTGTTTTTTTATTTCTATATAAAAATTTGGAAATAAAAAAGTTATTTATATTTAAATTTATACAAATATATCTCTTCCTTATTTTTATGCAGTACCCTTCTTGTAAAACTTTTATTTTGTGTTGAATAATTTTACAAATAATGATATTTTAATAAGATTTTTTAATAAGATTTCTTGCGAAGCAATGGATGCAGTCAACCCATTGCTTTCAATTCGAATCCGCTCCCTAATAATAACTCTCAGTTATCACTATCAAGAATTATCACAGTGACACATTTTATCCATTTCTACATATTTTTTAGTATTTATTTTTTGAACAGAACATATAATCTAATATCACGCAACACAAGTTTTAAATTTAAGCTTTGACTTTTATTTTTAGATAATCTTAACATGAGATACACACTGAGTTATTTCGTCGTGTTGCTAGGATATTTGCTTTTGGTGTATAGTAGAGATATCGATTTTGAATATTTAGATGACGCGATGCCAAATTTTATAGACAATCAAAACAATAACATTTTAAAGAGTTTAATTACCGATAATGACTATGATGATGATGACGATGACAAAAGTGAAAGTGAACATTATAATAATTATGAACGCTACGGGTATGGCGACTTTAAAAGAGATTTGATTCGTGGCCCGAGTTTCATACCAACAATCGACAACGATAGTGCGGCTTCGGAATTAATGAAAGAAGAAAACGACATTGAAAATGAAGCAGACGATGAGCCTAAAAAAATATTTGAAAGAAATACAAATGGTAAAACCGCAATCGAAAACACAAGCGAAGTGAGTGGAGAAACAGGTATGTATTTAAATTGAACCATTTGGTTAATATAAATAGAGTTCTCTTGTATTGGTCATTGATAATATGGTGGCAGGCATTTTTTGTTAATTTTAGATTTTTAATAAATATATTTCTCAATTGGTCATTCTGATGCATAAAGTAAATCATGATTTACTTTATACAACAATAAAACTGTAAAACTTATGTATACACACAGATATGTGTGTGTGTGTGTGTGTGTGTATGTGTGTGTATGTGAGCGTATTTGTGAGTGCGAAATGTAATATATATGTGTGCGTGTGTAAAAGTTTGAACTCCACTCAATTTGAGCGGTTACAAATTATTTATGGTCATAGTTTTTGAACTCTAAGTGATTATTTTACAAAATTTTAATTATATAGTTGAATATTAATTTAGTTTAGAATAGTAAAAAAAATATTTGATCAACTTATTTCTCTCACGTTTGGGGCAGAGTCGTTGCAAACTTTGGTGCTTTTTTGTTCCCAGGTTCCAATCATCGCCATTTTTTGCATATCAACATTATTTGACATAAGTATAAACATATAAATGTTTGGAGTTTGCTCCATATCTAGAAGTTAGCTCAAATCTCAAACATCAAAAAATGGTTGAATCCGCCCTTGAAACCTGTTATACCTTTGACTACGTAGTACCCAGGCCAAGATCTATAAATTAAGTTTATATAAGTATAACTTACATTAAGTAAATTTTTTGTGAAAATTGTGAGTGTAACTTGAAACATTAATATATATAAGTATAAAAATTTTATAACCTTAAACTTTATTCAAGTAAAACCTTTGGTACTTTTTTGTCGCTGTTTGCAAACTTATTTGACTTTTTGATTATTAATATATGAAGATAATAAACTTCACATGTTAATAATATCAATAATAATAACATTGTTAATTAATATTAACATATTATTTAACAATTTTATTAGTATTAGCTTAATTGTATAAGTAATATAATACAAATAAGAATTTTTCTTGAATAAAAATAAAATTTGTAACTGGACTGGGATAAAAGGTCTTTTAAAAATACGTCTGTTAAAAAAAAAAAAACTATTTTAAGTTATTTAATAATACAGAAAAAATTCATTAAATTAATATTTTTGCGTCAAATAAAAATATCACTAAGATAAACTTTGAATTGTGTAAATTAACGCAAATAAAAATAAGCCTGCAGGTTCATTTTAACTTGACCAGGTTTTGTTTTCATGAAAACAAAACCTTGACCAGGTTTTGTTTTCATGAAAACAAAACCTTGACCAGGTTTTGTTTTCATGAAAACAAAACCTGGTCAAAGGTAGTAAATGTTTGTACCTTAACTTGCGTTTGCAAAATTTTTTATTGTTTCAAAGTTTTTTTTATTTGTATTAATTTCAAAGTTATCAACTAATAACAATTTGTAAAAAGATAAGCTGCTTTCTTAAACAACCTTCTCATAAGGTTGCTGCAGAATCTTAATTGTTATAAATCACTCTTTCGAGTGATTCAGCTGTCAAAGCTAAAATTGTTTAAACTCATATCACATTAAATATTTATAATGCATTTAAAATGTTTTTACTATTTTATAAACAAAAATAGTTAAACTGTTTATTATACTTTAGGCAAAAACATACCTGAAAATATTTTATCTTCTGACTCTCTTGCTTCGTCATTTAAGAAAGACATATTAGACGAAAATAATAATGTTGCTCAGAACACGACCAAAAAACATAAAGTTCTTACACAAGCTGAAAAAGCACTCGTGTCTGAAAGTCTCATTAACTTACTTTATGATTGGAAAAAACATAACACACCTAAAACAGCTAAAAATAAACGTATTTACTCAGAATTTACATCAGCTAATGATTTAGAAAATACATATACACCCGAAAAATTAGAGACGATAACAACTAACATATATGCTTCTCCTCTTGTAGATCAACAAAATAAACCGGAAGACGAAACAAGTGCATCTACAGAAAGTGCATCAACGATTCATTCTGGAGTTGAAGATGAAAATACTTTTAAAAAAAATAAAGATTATGCTAATTTAAATGAAGAGATTTTGCCATCTTCTCAAGAAAACACAGCTAATGCAGTAAGTCAAGAAAAAGAAAGATTTAATGTGCTTGTTAATGTAAATATAAATGAAAGAGCAGCTCGAAGATCGGACGTAGACAAGTATTCTCAAATAAGTGTTTCAGGTTCTCGAAGGTCAAATGTTGATCATACTAACAAATCTTTTCCTTTGCAATATTCTAGTTCTGGAAATGATCTATTGCCTATTCGAACCACGAACTTTCAAGATAAAAGTCATGGGACAAAAACTGCACACAAAGTTTTCGGTGAGCTTAAAAAAATAACCAAAAGCATAAAGACAAAAACTGAAGATGAAGAGGACTCGGTAAGTGGTCTCGATAACTCAGGTTTTTCTGGTGAAATGCCAAACAAAACATTATCAAATTCTGCAGAAATTAAAACTGTTAAATCAAGCGTTAAAAAAGTAATACCAAAGAAAGAATTGGAAGAAGAAGCAGACGAAGAAGAAAAAGATGCTAGCAAAGATGAAGCCGATAATTATTCTGGTTCTGGTGAAAAAGAAGTAGATGATGATGTAGTTAAAAAATTATCACATTTTAAGAAGACAAAGGTTATTGGAGGAAAAACTCCACAGAAAGTCAAATCTACTCACAAAGTGGATGGTATTTCAAACCAACCTATTAAACCTTTGTATAAAAAAAAAGATAGTTCAAAACATGCATCTGATGAGGAAAAAGAATCTTTAAAAGGAGAAACAACAACTGATACAGTAATTGCAAACAAAGTTGCTGCAGATCGCGAATCAAAAGATAATAATTTGGAGCAGAATGATGTAAAGACAAGCAAAAAGAAGACTAAAGAAGATTTCAATGATCTCAACAAATTAAACACAGCATCATCAGGAGAGATAAAAGAAGTTGTTGATGATGTTAAATTTGCAAAAGCAAACATTTCTGAGGCGGAAGACGTGCGAATTGAACAGGTTAAATCCCCTGCTCCTCTAAAAGCAATCCCACTAGAAGCTGCAATAGGAGCAAATCAACCAGCTGCAAAAATGCCATCTGAAGTAAAAGAGGAATCTGAAAATGAAGAAATTATGTTTACAAAAAAAGAAAGAGAAGAGGAACTAAAAAAGTTAGAAAAAAATACTGAAAAACTGAAATCTTTGGAGAAAAAAAAGCCCGAGTCAGAAAAAATAGAAATGAAGAAAACGGAGCCAGACGATAAATACGAGACTTTAGCCGAAGTCAGAGAAAAGTTTAAGAAGTGGGAAAATAAAATAGAAAATAAAAACATTGAAATTGCAGAAAATCCGGATGAGATTGAAAAAGAAAAGCCAGAAAAGGTTGCTGGTAAAGCAGAAAACTTTGAATTAGTTACTCAGGACAAGAGTCCAGATGCAGAAACAATTAAAGCAGCTGAAAATGAGGCAAAGAAAAATGTTGAAGAGATATCAAATGTTAAAACAAAAGACAAAAGTGAATTGGTTGCTACTGATCTTAAAAATGAAATTAAAAATTCAGTGAAAGAAATACCTAAGACTGTAAGCCCCTCTGTAACTGTAAATAAAAATGTTTCACAACAGAAAAATGAGATTGTCGAGAACAAAGACATTGAATCCCAAACAGTAATACCAATTGGAGAGAGTATTTTAAAAATTGTACCAGACCAGGTTGTTGCTAAAACTAATTCAGTTGTACCAATAGTCCAGTCATACCAATCTTGGAAAGACGAGAAAAAAGTTATTCTTAAGAAACTTAGAAACCCTTTTTCAGAAGAAAACAAAAATGTACACAAACTAGAAGAGGACGATGATAATGTGGAAGACGACGACGAAAAAGAACAGAAAATAAAAAATATGGTTGAAGCAGACCAAGTGCCCAAAATTAGTAAAAAGGAAAGGGCAAGATTTTTGGCTGGTATAAATCGGCTCAAAGAAAAAGAACTGCTTAAAAAACAGAACCAGAAAAACGAAGAAAACAATAATAATAACAACTCGGATAAAGTTATCAGTACAAGCGTAATTGAAAATGAATCGAACCACAGCGCACATGAAGCTGGACCTATAGAAAAAGTTGGCACCATCCAAGATAAAGATAGTCTTAAAAAACTGATTGCTAGTCAAGTTGCTGACGACCTTAAAAACGACACAGCATCTGTTATGAACATAAAAGCAAATTCTCAAAGTCTGAAACAACTTCAACACTTTAAAAATCAAATTCTTTCAGAAGTTGAAAAAATAAATCGCTTAGAAGCGGAGTATGGCGTAGAAGATCACAGTACAAGAGATCTTGATGAAGCAAAAGATGTACTCAAAAAGGATTTAAAAGTAGTCAAAGAACTTGAAAAAACCCTATTGAAAAAAACAAAAGCTAAAGAAATTCCAAAGGTAAAATCTTTTTCAAAAAATCCTGATATTCATCAAGAAATATATTATCAACCTACCTCTGTCATGGAAGCGCAACAACTTCAGGCTGCTGCCATAAAAGAGCAAGAAAAAGCTTCTGTTGCAAAAGAACAAGAAAAAGCGCATGATAAGCAAACTGCTTTGGAATTAAAGCAAAAAGTTGAAACGGATGAGTTTAAATCATCAACGAAAGAAGTTTTAGAAGAGGAAGAAGATGCAGAAGTTATTCCTGAAGCAAAATTAGGATTTGAACTGTCTAACGAAGATGAAGAAGAAAAGGAAGACGATGATAAAAGTTTTGAAGATAAAAATGAAAGCAAAAAGAACCGAAAAAATCGTAAAAAAAAACATAGTAAATCTCAGTCTAAAAAAAAAACTAATAAAAGCTTGAAAAATCACCATCATCATCATCCTCTTGCTGAGCTTCATAGTTTGTTAAAAGCCGAAATTCGACGACTACGACTGCCAAATAGAGGGCGTAATGATCCTCAACTATCTAACATCCGTCAGTTAGTCCAACAAAGATTAAAGTCAATGCTGGAAAACGGTGATCTAGACAAAGCAGCGGTGCATAATTTGACACCGGATATAAAGGAGTTAGGAATGCTTCTAAAAAAAAGAATACAAAGTGAGAAGAAGAGAAAAATGCATAAAAATAAGAAAAATAAAAAAAAGAAAACATCAACATATTTTTTGAAAGAATCAGAAATGAAAGCGCATAAAAATTTTAACAAGATGAGAAAACCTAGTACTGAGGAAAATGTTCTTAATAAAGAAATAAGTTCGCTTCAAAATAATATTGCAGCTATAAATAAACCTGCAAATATCCATGAAATGGCTAATTTACACCACACAACATCTTCTGTTCCGTCATTGACAGTACATCTAGCGCATAATACTACCATATCCAGCCAAAGTAATCAAATGAAAAACTTGCTGACAACATTAAATAGAAAACTTGGTGAAATATATGCTAAAGCCAGTGGAGTGCGCCCTAATCCACCTCACACAGTACAGGCTTACTCAGTGGCTCAACCGCATGCTCTTCCTATTTCTTCACCAAAACATTTAGGAAGTCAGCACCTAAATACTAATAACTATACTATAACAAGTTTTCAAAAACCTTCCTACAAAGAACCTCTACCAAAACCTATTGTTATACCTACTACGTTTGTTCAGACACCAATCGATAACCTTGCACAAAGTCTAACGCACAATTCACATTACAACCATCCAGCAAGTAAGTTTTTTTATTATAATTGATTTTATTAAAAAAATTTTATGCAAGATGTTATGAGAGCATCAAAAGACATTTATATATATATATATATATATATATATATATATATATATATATATATATATATATATATATATATATATATATATATATATATATATAATATATATATATATATATATATATATATATATATATATATATATATATATATATATATATATATATATATATATATATATATATATATATATATATATATATATATATATATATATATATATATATATATATATATATATATAAGGAATCTAGTTTAAAATCATGACTACTCTTATTTTTTATTTTTTAAAAATTTCAAGATATAGTGAACTTTTTTTAAAAACTGACAATTGTAAAATCTACCCCCCCCCCTCCTTCTCCTCCACTATGAAACCCGGGGTGTTGGCCCTGTAAATAAAAATTAAAAAGCTAATTGGATTATTATATTTATGTTCCATTAGCAAACTGTTTCTCCTCAATCTGCCCGATGAAATAGTATTAATATATATAATAGTCTTGAGTATTGTTTGTGTCACAAATTAAAGCTTTGTTTAAACAAATGTTTTATTGAGTTTGAAAATTTTTTAGTAAAAGGTCATATTTATCCCCAACAAGCTGAGCTTCCTCCTGCGTTACCTCAAGAGCCAGACTTTGATGAAACAGATTTTAATCCACAAAGACCTTTAGCGGACAACGAACCAGTGGATACTTTGGTGGAAAACCTTGAGAGAGATATTACTGAAGTATGGTCTTACAGAAACATGTTTCCTGATGCAGAGGCACTTGGGCTTGATAATGACAAAGTAAGATTTAATTTTTTTTAATTTCTATTTAAAGTTACATAACAAAGTTTTATCAATATACATGAATGATCAGATTATTTTCTATATTGCATATTTTTTTTAATTATTAAGATCGCTGTTCAGTTTATTGCGAAGTATTGCTGTAATATATCGTCTTCTCAATGTTATTTAGTTCTATCTATAAATGTAATAAATAAAATGTTCTATCTAATATATAAAATAAATGCAAAAAAAAGTTATATAAATAAATACAATGTTTTATGTAATATAATATAATATATTATATCAGGTAGAACATTGTATTTATTTATATATATTTTTTTGTATTTATTTTATATATTAACTTTTTATTTATTACATTTGTAGATAGAACAAGATAATTCTGACGGGACGATATGAGACATTCCATCTTTAATCTTATGTTAATACTTTGTTCGCTTTTATTTTAAACTTTATACAAAATATCACCCATAAACTAATAGTTAAAGAAAAAAATTTTAAATTACCTTCTGTAAATAGGTCAAATATAAAATATTGATAAAATATTTTTTATTCAAATTCTGAAAAGTTTTGAGCAAATTTTTTTTGTGTTAAAGTTAATATTAATAACTTTCTTTTCTATTCTAAAGGTTCATAATACTTACGCAAATCTTGGCTCTTTGTCTGGTCTAAATTTACGACGAGCGTTAAATCGTGCACTTCGTGGTGAAGATGTCGGTCTTGCAGTTGTTGGGGGGTCAATATCAAAAGGAGGTCCTTTTAGTGAAAAAGGTCTTGATTTTGTTTTAAGATCCTACTTTTATGCAATTGAAGACTATTGGAACAAAATTATTAGGCCAGTAACTGGTTCTTCAATGATAATACGCGATGTTTCTATTGGTGGAATTGCCACAGATTACTATTCTTATTGTTTACACAACCACCTTCCAAATGATAAGTTAACAAATATTGTTTTATGGGAATTATCAGCAAATGACATGCGCAGATATGACGATAATCAAAGACCTAAGCCACAACCTTTAGAGCAGTTTACTAGAAACGTTTTGTCGTACAGAGCAAAACCAGCTCTGGTGTTTTTAAACTTTTTCGCTTTGTTTGAGTGGGATCCGGATCTTTCAGCACATTGTCGAAACTTTGAAGATGAGGGTGAAGACGATATTGCTAAGTATTACAAAATTACTTCGTTAAGTTGGAGAAATATGGTGTGTCCGTTATTGGCAAGTGGAACTAATCCTTTATTTACAAAAAGCAAGCTTTTTGCAGAAGACAATTTTCACCCAAGTATTTTGGCGCACGCCCAAATGTCTTATATTGTTATCGACTATATTCGAACAGAGTTCTTAAAAAATTTAGTCAAAATGAGGAATACAAATATTGCAGATGCTGTTACAAGACTTCAAATACCACGAACAATTTATATTCCAAGACCAATATTTCCTCAAACTTATACGTGGAAACCTCTTTGTCATACTTATATGTTAGTAGACAATAGGTCTCCAAACAACACGTTACCTCTTGATGAAGAAAATGACGGAAGCTTTCGTTATTCAATTGTTCGTGAGTTCAAAATACGTTCTGATAAAATTGTTGGAATGGATACTCAACAAAAAGATCAGTATATTAGATACAAAATTCACATTCCACGCCATTCAGATGGTTCAATGATACCATATAAACGTTTAGGAATAATGTCTTTTACAGATGATCGTTCTGCATTTGCTCAGTTTGATGGGGAACCCCCTAAGGAATTACAAACAAAGAAAAAATTTTTAGAAGGAACTGTAATTAAATATCTTGCAGAAAACGTTGTTCCGGGCGAACATTTAATGACAATACGTTCTGGAAATAATGGATTTCTAATATGTGCAATTGTACTAGGTTAAGAAAAAGCCCATACGTTTTTGAAGATATGAAAAGTTCATAATAAATGTAAAAATTAAAAACTGAATATTGAACCAAAAATTATCAAATAGACTTCCTAATAATACGATCTTTCTTAATTTTCTGTTTAATAATTGGAAAAATACGTGTGACGTGATACGTAACACGTATCATTGCTATGATCGTATACGATTGCAAAAGGAGAGTCCAAACCATAATAATCAATTTTGAACATATCAAAAAGTATTTTTTATACGTTATTAGTGAGCGATAATTAACGATTTAGTGAGATAAACGCGAATAATACTCACTAGCTTCTAGCTTGTTTGCAGAGATTAGCAACTTAGAGGGGCGTTTTCTGTTTAAAAAATTTTTCACTTGGCTAATTCACAAACATTAAAAATATTTTTTTCAGACCACACACATGATGAGAAATAACGTATTTTTTTAGGTCCACCATATTTTCATCTGAAATATACGCAAAACCTTTTCAAGGTAATATATAGCCTTTCTGTACTTATATATAAACCTTACACTAGTAAATTAAAAAAAAAAAAAAAAAAAAATCAGTTGTGGAGACCTAATTTTTTTGTTTGAATTTTTAGATTTTTTTCACTGTGATAAAAAACTTTAATTTTTTGAGACCTTAACCTTTTTACTAAAAAATTTAATTTTGTAATAATAAGTATTTAATTTTCAGATTAATAAATCTTTATTTTTCACATTTGGAAAGAGTTTTAAACTTAATAATTTCATTGACAAATCTTAACTTATTCACCGTTACATATTTTTAGAAGTTAAATTACACATCAAATTTTTTATTTATATTTTAACAACGCATATTAATGAAATTAATTATTAACTTTCTTAATTTATTTGGAAATATTTATTCACAATTTTGAAATATTATGTTTTATACAAAGTTACGTCTGATGTATTAGCGCATGCGTAGAAGTTACTAAACCAAAAGCTTAGCTTAATATAAGTATAATATAATAACTTATAATATCTAATAACTTATAATAAATATAAGTTTCTGAAAAGTTTAGTCAGTGTAAAAACGTTTAAAATAAAGCGTTTGAAATAAAGCCTTTGTACTAAAAAAAACAAATTTATTAGCTTTTTATAGAAAAAGCCGTTTTTATGTTTAACACCTTGTTCATGTTTAACACCATGTTCATGTTTAACACCGTGTTTATGTTTAACACCGTGTTCATGTTTAACACCGTGTTTATGTTTACCACCGTGTTTAAGACTTTAGAAAGGTCAAAGTTGTTGATTTCTATTAGAATGTTTTTAATTAATTCAAAAAGTTGATTTTTTCGATTGAATTTGTTAAACCAGACTTCCCTTTTACCAATCCATGTTGATGTTTATTTAACATTCAATTATTTGACATATGTTTATATATTCTGTCATATGTAATGTTTTCGACATTTTTTAAGCTTTAAATTCCAGTAACTTGTTTTCTAAAGATGTGACGCCATGTACATATATTTCAACTTAATTCCTTTGCTGTTACTATAACGCTTTAAGCTTGACAACTTCGTTTGAAATCGCATCGAAAGGAAAAATCAATTTTCAAAAAATATTTAAATCAATTTGTTTAGTTCGTATTTTAAGACCACAATGGAAAAAACGGCAGAGTCACATTTTTATAATTTTTCAGTTATGGCCCTTGGGTAATAAAGCATTGAAAAATGCTTCTTTTAAGCCAAGTTTCAAATGAAAAAACCAACATAGTCTATGGTAAAATGGAATAAGAAAATATGGTATACAATGGAAAAAACAGCAGTGTCCACCAGTGACAAGGAAAGAAAAGGCAAGGTCCATATAATAACGTTTTATGTGACTCTGCCGTTTTGATTTCCATTGTGATCTTCATATATTTAATTATTTGGGTTTAAAAAAGGGTCCATATAGGTCACATGACCTTTAGGGTTGCGTGACCCTTTGGACCAATCAGTAAGCTGTAACCTTTTTTTTTTTTTATAAGTTTTGAATATATTTTGCTGTTTAATAAAATCAATTACATAAGATTTTCACGTAATAAAATATATAAATAAATAAGACAATTTAAAAAAACAGACCGGGACTCAAAGAAGATATGGGTGATACAATACCACCACAATCTTTTCATAGAGCCCCTAGAAAAATAAAAAGTCGTCAAAAAGTTATAATAAACTGCAGATAAAAGTATGATGTAAAATTTCAAATTTAAATACTCAAGGGTTTAACATATAAAAACCAATGCATAAAATAACTACAAAAAATAAATGTACAATTAATATTTAAAAGAATAAAAAAGTAAAACTATTTTGATAAAACTTAAAAGAATTTTTGTAATTCCTCAGAATTAAAAATGTGTTTTTTTGCTTGCTACTTAAATGAGTTTAATGATTTTACCATATTATCTTTTTTAGCTTCTTTTTTTTGAAAATAGTTCCATATCTTTGGTCCCCGAAATGCTATTGAAAACTCTGTATACTTATTTAGTTTCTTAGGCAATTTAAAGAATTTTGATTGGTTTGTTCTAAGGAAATACTTTTCATTTATATATTTTTTAAACTTACAATTAAAATTTACTGGAGTTAGGTTATTTGTAAACTTATACATGAAAATTAAGTGTTGATAAATATTTATTTCATAAATATTCATCATTTTCATGTCACGCATTAATGGTTTAGTGTGCTCCCTTCTTTTTTTTCCGTATATAATTCTACACGCATGTTTTTGAACACTAAGTATTTTTTTAAATTTTGTAGTTTGCGTGTTGCCCCATGTAATATTGGCATAACTAATAAAACAATGAATTAAGGAGAAATAAATTAATTTAAAACATATACTATTAACGTAAGGACGAACTCGGTACATCATGCCGATCGTTTTACTAACTTTTGATTGTAAATATTTAATATGGGGAAGCCAAGATAAGTGCTTTTCAACAAGTATCCCTAAGAACTTTATAGAGTCTTCCTGTTTTGTTTCTTTATTATCTAAAAAAATATCTGGTAATTTGAGGGGAAGGTTTACTTCTTGCAACTTTTTATAAAATAATGTATACTTTGTTAATTAATAAACCCTGACGGTTTATTAATTACTGACAAAACATTGTACTTATATAACATGTCAAAAAAAGATTTTGTTTTTGGAAATTTCTGGTATGTTAGTGCGTTCAAATTTATATCACCAAGGATAAATAAATTTGTTTTCTCGTTGTTTGTTTTTAAAATACTTTTTTCGATAAAATCTTGAAATGATAAAATTTTACCACTAGGTGGTCGGTACACGCATCCAATTATACTATTTTTGTTTTTAGCATTATTTACTTGCACATTTTTCTATAATCCTTTCTTGTCTATATATTAATATTTTCCAATATTTAAAAAGAAATGTTGAAATTCATAAAGAGTGCTGTTATTCTCTGAACATGTATTTTTATAACTTTTTTTTCATTTTTTTTTCATTTTTTCTACTCACCCTAGGCCTGCCTCCTGTTGATGGACGAGGAAAGCATGGCAGTCATCACAAAATATCTGATGAACTGCGGCAGAGAATAAGAGACCACATCTCTTCGTTTAGGGGTCGGCAGTCTCATTACCAAAAAATCTCAACCTACCCAACAAGTCCACCAATGACTTTTACTACAACAGAAAGCTCACATACCAATCATTTAACATTCACCAACTATCAACTGATGATGTTTTTCTTTACTGCTATGATGAGACTGTCGCTAGGAAAGGTTCAGATGAGGTGGCTTCTTTCCTGTATGACCACATCACAACCAAGGTCAGCGAAGAGGTTACTCACCTTGAACTATTCTGCGATTCCTGCTCAGGACAAAATAAGAACTTTACCCTGATTCGGTTTTTAGATTATATGGTGCACCATAGAAAAAGGTTTACCTCAGTGACATTCCCTGAGCGCGGACATTCTTATATGGAGTGTGACAGGGACATGGGTCCAGTAAATACAAAGTCTAGTGCTAGTGTTCCAGAAGACTGGATAAAAATATTTAGTGAAGCACGAAAACATCCTACACCATTTAACGTGACTGATGTTAAACAGGATCTGGTCAAAAACTTCTCCGGCTTTCTAAGGCCATTCTATAAGAAAGGCTGCCCGTTCCCCACGCGCCCTATTCGGAAAATGGTTTTTAACAAGGATGAAGGTCCAGGGACCGTTTGTCACAGAGACTCATGGAACGGTATTTTCTTGAAAACAAACATCATTGTTCCAACTAGAAAAAACAATATTTCAGTATGCACAGCAGTGCCAGTAGCTTTGTATGAAGACTGGGTATATCAGCTGCAAAGTACAAAGACCTCCAAGTCCTCAAAAAATTTACCACCAATAAGGCATTCTATGATGCTCTGCCGTATGACGATAAAGTTGAAGATGAGTGTCAAGACCAGTGAATGTTCATGCATATTTTATTTTTTTAAAATAAAAAATTTTTAAAATTCAATGGTTTTATATAGTTATTTCTTATGTGTTACAATAGAAAAACAGGCAAAGTCCTAATCAATGGAAAAAACAGCCGAGTCCAATCTGAATACATTTTGAAAAAACAAAATTTTCCATGAGATAACATGATTTTCAGAATATTTATTTGTTAAAATTTGATGCTTAAATGGATGACCTTCCCTTAAAAATTAAAAGAATTGACAGTTTCTCACATAATTTGTAATAAAAAGGTTTCAAACCTTTAATTTAGGTTTTCTTAAAATGTGAAAAATGTGATTCTGCTGTTTTTTCCATTGTGCTCTTCAAGTGCAAATTGGCGCAAGTGCGAACTGGCATAAGTGCGCCGAACAAAATTGCAAACATTAGCATAAGTGCGAATTTGAACTGGTATAATTGCGAATCAGTTACAAAAACTGGCTTAAATACAAACTGGTATAAGTGCGCCGAATAGATTTGCAAATATTGGCATAATTGAAAATTATTATTTCGCACTTATGCCAGTTCGTAGTGGGTTGAAAAAACATTTGATAACCTTTTTGGAAAAAAAAACACATCTTACAATATTTGCATATTATTTTAAACCAAACACGCTATACTTTAAGCGATAATTCTTTATCTAGATGGCTTACTATGGAACGGAATTGTAAGGTAACTCATGACATCGCGAAATCATAGTCATAGTATTCAACTAAATATTACGCTTAATACTATGATTGATGAAATGTAATACGACAAAAAAAATCTCGAGAACAAAAAATTAGTTATTTATGTATATAAATTTATACACAAAAATGCAAAATAAAGGGATGTAGAGTTTTAAACGGAAACGGTTTTAGCTAGTTTATCAACCATCGTAATCTAAACACGTGAGTGAAAATCGAAAAAAAGTGGAAGTAGTTACTTCACACTAAAATAAAATTTGACGATGCTGCAAAATAACAACATTAAATCTAAAAGTTTTAAAGTAGTTTTAAAATCGTTTTTAACAAAATTTTAAAAAGCTAAAAAATCCTAAAATTTAGACACAGTAAAAAAATCAAAACAAAGATTAAAAATGTTTTTTTTTAATTAATGTAAAGTTTAAATATAGTTGGCTAAAATAAGAACAAAATTAAGGCAACATAAGCATATTAGTAATCATATATAATTAGCGCTATACTTTAAAAAAACGCATGGTTGAATCAAGTTGATACAAATCAAGTATAATCTAGGCAAATAATCAGTATTTCTTATAACAGGTTGGAAAGAGACCAACTTAAACAAAATATCAAAATTATTTTCAGTTTGGTACATCGTACAACAATAAAAAATCCATTGGTTCTTCAAGCAAATCAGAATAGTTTCAACCAATCAACCAACTCGCTTCAAGCAATTAATATAAAAGTTTGTTGTGATTTAATTTTTTAATCTGACTCAACCTTAGATTTTTTTTTCTTCTTTTTCTTTTCGACTTTTACTTCTTCAACGATTTCCTAAAAACCAAGATAAAATGGTTTACTACTCCTAATAAACTAACTGCAATTTGAAGTTTAAAAAGAAAAACAAAAAAAACCTCATTTTCTGATAGGACTTTCTTATCCTTCTTTTTCTTTTTCTTTTTTGGAGTTTCTAAATAATAATAGATTTTGAAACTCAGGTGTACACCCTTTAGTTGCATTTAATATTATCCTGATAGTGACAACCTTTTGGTCGCCGTAGTTATAGTTATTATTTAAAATTTTTATTACATTTAATGCCATTTTTGTCTTGCAACTATGCATAATAATGTAGTGACAAATAATAAATTTTGGTCTTATGTCTTATTTTTTGCATATGTGCTATGCATAGGTAGCAACCCAGGCGCAAAACCTTTTATTGTGTGAAAGAGCCAACTAAACAAAAACTTTTTAAAACAAATTCAATTTAAAGAGTGAAGTAGAAAATACTTAGATAAATTGTTTGCCTATTGTCACTGATTTACTTCATAATAAAATTGCCCAAGAACATATAAAAGTACATACTTTTGGAAAGGCAATTGACAAATACTTGTTTACATATACAACACACACCAGTGTTGCGAAAGTAAAGTTTTCAAAAAATTTCCAAAATTTACCGCCTAGTAAATTTTGAAACTTTTTTTCACTTTATTTTATTTTTCTTAAAAAAATTTTTTCCGAGGAACATTTACCTATTCCTATTTAAAATTTACCGGTAAATTTTGAATCAAATTTTACCGGACTAACACACATACAAACATATGAAGAAACATTAAACAGTTTAAGTAGTACCTTCTTCTATTTCTTCAACTTTAACTTCTGTCTTAATTTTACGCTTAAGTGAAGAGTCATTGTTATTATCATAGACAGGAATTGGTTCACTAAAAATAAACGCATAGATGGTAATAAAAATAAGTGTTTTTGATATTTTATGCGCTAAGATAAAATACATACATTTTATAAAAGGAATGGATTTTATCTCAAAATCTAGCTAGCATCTCAGAATAAAAGCAATAAAATTGCATACAAGAAGAAAACATCAATGATGCTAGCTACTCAAGATACCTTATGACTTCAACTTTTTTATGCTTTACTCCTTTTGCACTTCCACTAATTCGAGTCATCTATTAAAAACAAATATTTAAAAAACTTTTCTAAATATAATAATTAATGTAATGTAAATTTATTTAAACTTACTCCACCATCTTCCAAAAATTTCAATCTAGATTCAAGCTTAGCTCTATTCTCAATACCCATATCAGAGTTAATATCTTCTCCAAGTGCATCGTATCTTATAGCCAACGCAGTTTTCGATGCTAACATACGGGAAATCTGTAAATACACATTTTAATAGCATTTTATTTTATAAGTACAAACATTAGTTTTAAACTATTTACTGATCATTAAAAAAAAATTAATTCTAAGATTAATTTATTCGTGATTTAGATATTTGAAAAATAATATTGAATAATAAAAAATCAGTAAAATAATTATACAAATACATTTCTTTTTTTTATTAACACGTTCACGCCGGCGTGTACCACCGGTGGTACTCACTAGACTGTCTCATTGGGCGGCGTGTACCACTGGTGGTACACACTAGACTGTCTCATTGGGCAGCGTGTACCACCGGTGGTACACGCCGGCGTGAACATGTTAAATATTATTTTTAAGAAAATAATTTTGTTGTTCAAGAAAAATACATTGTAAATAAAAGTTAAACAATCTACAAATTTAAAAAAATCTAATTAGGCTTTTATATAATTTTTTTTTTGATGAAAGTTCAAATTATATACTCAGATAGGTGGATCATCCTAACATAAAACTTTTATTTATTTATATAATATAAAATATATCGAACCTATAATAATACAATCAAACAGTGAAGGGCCAAAATGAAACAAAACATTTCCCACCTGCTTTTTCTTCACTAATAATAATACTTTGAGGAACTGTCATTAAAATTATACAATTTTGATTAATTTTAATGTTTTGAAATTAAAAATTTAAATAAAATTGCAGTTAGCAAATAATTACTAAAATACAAAATGTTAAATAAAGAATAGGCCTAGATTTTTAAATTGTTTATTTTGTAAATTTAAAAAATGAATTTTGATTTAAAATTTTTTTGTTACCTTTCCCTTTAACTTGGTATTAGACTGACCAACTAATGTTGCATGATAAATTAGGCCATATTTTGGTGTGTCATGCTTTGTTTTCAATGCTCTTTATTTATAAATAAAAATGGTAAAAAAGGTAAGTACTTCACACTTTAAAACATATAACTTTAGATAACTATAAAAATTTAAAAATAGTCAAAATACTAACCTAAATAGTGCTTTTTCTGCACCTAATATTTGAACTGTTGATGCAGGTTGCTTTGCTAAATTTAGAAGTGAACCTAAAAATTTAAAATGAAAAAACGAAATTATAATTTAAATATATAATAACAATATATAGATAACATTTATTTGTAACAATAACGTATTAAATAACTTATAATAAATAATATATTAAACTGATTAACATTTAAAAACAGTGTAAAAACAAACTTTTTCACTGTAACTAATATCACTAAATTTTACTTAAGGCTTTTTTTGGACTTTTTTTTACATTATTATTATGTATATAATAAAGTCTCGTCTAAATAGACTAGATAGATCAATTATAACAACCCTGAAGTTAACTTCCAGGTCATTGATAACTATTTAACATGGCCATAGACAAGTGGGGGTTTAGGGAAAGGGGGGACTAGCCTCCATACTTATAGCTTTGGTTGCGACTCAAATTAAATATATATAATCAATTTGAAAATAATAAAAATTTATAAAAAAATTTTTTTTTGTAAATATCTATAGAAAAGAATTTTATTTCTATAAATAAGTAGAACTTGCTGTATTGAAGTCATTAAACCATTGTATTAAACTCATGTTTTTAAAAGTCGATTTTTTAAAAATCAATTTGTATTTTCTGTCTTTGTTTCTTTGTTTTGTAGTTTATTTTGAGTTTCTTTTAAGCATGAGAAAATCTTTTAAGAATTAAATGTTTAAAATTATATTGTTTAGTTAATAGAAAAGTTTATTCAGTAATTCAATTTTAAAATACGTTATAAAGTTTGACAGAGCTTGGCGCCAGGCCTTGTTATAGGGTAATTCCACATCAAATCACCCAAATTTTTCAAGATTTTGAACCATAGGTCTCATATTTTCTTTAAACTTCTTTAGCTGTTGCATTTCATATAGAAAAGTTCACATGCAAAATTTTAGCCAAAAATGTTCAGCCGTTCACAAGATATCAAGGTTTTAATATAGACCTGGTTTCCCAAAATGACCTGGTTTCTGTGTCATTTTAAAAAAACGTTTGCTCTAATAAAATGAAAAATAATGAAAATAAAAATATGAAAATTAGCATTTATAATGCTTTTCTAATGCAGAATTCAAAAAATGCACTTAGAATGCTGAAATATGAGCAGAACATGCTTTAAAATTAAAAACACACCTAATTTATATATTCAAACTTAGGGGTCATATATCTCAAAACACCCCCGTCTAGATTTTTTTTTTTTTGCTTTTAATATTTTTAGCTACTTATTATCTTACTAGGCACAAAAAACCTAACTGGAAAAACAACTAAAACATATAGAACCATAGTTTCCAAGATACACCACTTTTATGGGTGCCCATAGCAATTTTCTAACGAGAGGGAGGGGTGAGGGAACAACAAAATATTTTTAGTGATGTTCTAATTTAGTTCAATTTACCAAGAATACTTAAAAAAAAGCATATTGCAAAAGATATGGTGAAAACAACTTTTTTTTATTACAGTTAGAGGGGAGGAGAATAGTGTTTCAATAACACCTGGCATTGCCATATCTCTGTCATTTAAACCATTTAGCCAATAAAACATATCAAACTACTTTGTATGAACAGTAGTTACTTAGTAGTGATAAGTTGTAGATGATAAGTTGAGACATCATTGTTAACTCTTATCAAGCTCCAATTATCCTACAGCCAAAGATTTGGAAATATCTAATACTATATCATTATTTAATATATTTAAAACTAGAGCTTTTTTTTTTACTGAAAACTAAGTAGGAAAGTTCTTTTTTTTTTTGTATCCTTCGAATTGCTTTTTTCTTACTGCAAAAGCATTCAATACACTTCATTGCAAACTAATTAAAAAATTAAAAGGGTATGGCATCACTTAAAAGCTGCTAAAAATCTTCCTAAAGATAGTACATGTGTAGCAAATTATAGAATTCTGTAAAGAATTAATTTTGGTTAATAGACTTTTTATATATTTAAGGAAGTCTTAATTATATGATAACTTAATTATATGAACTTAACAACTGAAAAAACATCCGGTTTTGTTTTTATATAAAAACATTTTATAAAAAATAATTGTTATGTTAATATAATATTTTTTTTAATTTTGACAACTATAGTTTGTAAAAGTTTATTAAAAATGAGTTTATAAAAGTTTAGTTTATAAAAGTTCAGATATAGAACAACATTTATTGGTAAGATTATATTTAAATTTTAAAAAATTAATAATTTAAATAATATAATTATTTAAAAACTTCTTTTTTTACAACATTTATTATTAATATTAATAATAATAATATTAAGAACAACATTTATTAAAAATTATATTTATTAAAAAACTTTTTTTACATACAATTAAGTAGAAGAATTTTATTTTTATTTTTAGGAAATACTTTCATACTAAATAATTTATCTTATTAAGATGTGTTCTATTGGGTTAATGACATCAGATGCTTGCGAAGGCCAACAAGATGTTATTGAAACTTTAAGCAATGAAGAAAAAATAATTATATCTTTACGCTGTAATATTGAATTATCAAACTTAGAAATATTATGTGAAAGACATAATACAAAATATTTGAAAATGTATCCTATATGGCAGAAAGCTTGTTGTGATCCATTCAATAGACATACAAAGAAAATCACAAGTATGTAGCTGTAAAATTTAAATATTTCATTAATTTATGTTTTTCAAAAAATAAACGAAAGTTTTGAACTAATGTGCAGACATACTTTATACAATTCAATTACTTTTAGAAAATCTTGGCGTAGTTACAATAAAAGAGTCACAAGTCATGATGAGAAATTGTTTGAATGTAAACAAAAGATTGCCAGAAAAAAAGAACTTACAGAAGAGGAGCAAAGTAAGAGTGAACAAGATGAGGATTTTCTAATATCACCATGCAAAAAAATAAGACAGGAGATCAATAAAGAACTCAAAAATTTTAGTTTATCTCCTCTAAAATCTCATTCAAAATCATTAAAACATATACTGTCAGAAGGAAAGCAAAAAGTTGCATGCATCAACGAAATGGCGTATAACGCTACTAGAAAAATTGAAACTCAATTTTCCTCAAAACTATGTTATGAAACCAATGGGATGAAAAAGAAGGCTGCAAACTTTGATGAAATTATGAGCTTGGTAAAAGAAAAAATTCTATGTTCTGACAAACGAACTATTGTTCAACTTCTAACACTGGCACCCCCAAGTTGGTCAATATTAGAAGTACAAAATAACTTTTCGGTTACAGAATACCAGGCCAAGATGGCTAGAAAAATTTTTAATAAAAAAGGATTGTTAGGTATCTCTCCATTGTATAAGGGTAAAGTCTTACATAAAGAAATAGAAGATTCAGTTAAATTGTTTTATGACTCAAGTGATTTATGTCGAACTATGCCTGGAAAAAAAGATTATGTCAGCATTCAAAAGAACGTCCACAAACAAAAAAAACTGCTTTTGTGTAATTTAAAGGAACTATATGTATTATACAAAGAAAACAATCCAGAAATACAAATAAGTTACTCAAAATTTGCTTCACTTAGACCAAAGTGGTGCATTTTGCCAGGTGCAAGTGGTACACATTCTGTTTGTGTTTGTTCTTATCACCAAAATGCCATTTTGCTAGTGGATGCCTTAAATATTGAACTAACGTATAAGGATTTACTTTTGAAAACTGTTTGCTCAGTAGAAAACAAAGAATGCATGCTTGCACAGTGTGATAATTGTCCTGGTAAAGAACTGCTCACCATGTATTTGTATGAGATTTTTGGAGAATACGAAGATGATTTTGAGATACACTACAAACAATGGCAAACTACTGATCGTGCAACACTATTGAGTTTAACAACAGATGTTCCAACGTTTATTGAACTATTGGTATCTTGTTTTGAAAAGCTACAATCTCATTCTTATATTACCAAATCTCAATCACAATACCTTAATCAACTAAAAGAAAATATGGATCAATCAAACATTATCATTCTTGGCGACTTTGCTGAAAATTATGCTTTTGTAGTCCAAGATGAAATACAGAGCTATCACTGGAACACCCAACAATGTTCTTTACATCCATTAGTGATATACTATAAAGAAGAAAATGGTGTAGTGAAACATATTTCTTACTGTTTTATATCAGACGACATTATACACGATGTAACTTATGTATACAAGATATTTCAACTAATTATACCAATATTAAAAACAAAATTTCTTGATTTATCCAAATTGCATTTATTCACTGATGGCTATGTATGAATTTTGTGTTGAGAAAATTAAGGCTGTTAACTTCATTTACATAAAGGGATTGGACTTACAATTGCAACGTGAAAAGCAAAAAGAAAGGTACACTGATGTAACAACTCTACCAGGTACTCGTAGCTTTCATCAATTTATACATCTTGGAGATAATAGGGTTGGGGCGAAGAGGTGTAGTACAGACACTAAATATACAATAATTCACAATCTTAAAAAGAAACATATATTTGAACCTGATACTGTCACTTTAGGAGGTTATGTTGCGGTAGTTTATGATGATAAGTGGTGGATCGGCATTGTAACTGAAATCAACCTAGAAGAAGTTGATGCTGAAGTTAAGTTTCTCCACCCAAGAGGTCCATCAATCTATTTTAACTGGCCTGAAAGAGACAACCACTGTTTTATTCCTAACATCAATATATTGAAAAAACTATCTGTTCCACAAGCTTGCTCTAGTTCTGGTAGAAACTATGTGTTTGAAAATGTTGAAATAGAAGAAGTGCAAGTAAAATGGCAACAATATTGTGAACTATTACAAATACAGTCAAAATAACTTGCACATTCGATACCTTTAAAAATCTTGTATATTTAAGTAACTTTGTAAATTAGGAATAATTTATTTTAATTGAATTTATAAATATTTTTTAGGAATTTCTTAAAAAAGTTATACATCTTTAAAATTAAAGTTCTATATGTTTCAGTTTTTTTTCCAGTTAGATTTTTTGTGCCTAGTAAGATTATAACTAGCTTAAAATATTGAAAGCAAAAAAAAAAAAAATTTGACGGGGGTGTTTTGAGATATTGGGCCCTAAAGTTAGATTA